AACTTAACTAAAAGACTGACTTTTACAAGAGCTGGTTATAAAGCTACAAAATTATTAGGTAGAAATAACTCATTAGGCACTGATAAAATGCCAAGCTGTAGTGGAAGATATGGAAAGAGAAAAAAAAAAAAAGTCAGCTATAGTCTTGCAGCCAAGTAATTGGTAGAGCTCTTGGCTTAATTTATTACATATTAAAATTTTAATCTTTTTATGTATTAAAATATTTTAAGACTAAATTATGACCAGCAAATATTTAACTCGTAAATATAATTTGTAACAATTTTCTGACATTATTATTTCAGAAAAAAAATCTGACTTGTATTGCAGTAAGGTTTGGGGATCAGCTCAGGTCTGGACACAAGGACAGCCTTCTCCAAATCTAATTATTAATGGCATTATTGAATTCAACCAGATGTTTCACATGGATAAAATTAAGTACACGAATAAATCAAGATCCAAGCGAACGCTTAGATTTGACAGAAGATAAGGAAAGGTGAAACAAAAAGTAACGAAGACAGCTAATGAAAAACTACATATCCCTGGTTGTTAATATAAGTTGAAATTTAAAATTCAAAATGTAATAGGCCTGTTAAACGATCACTCTGCTGACAGACAAATGAGCGGGACATTTCTCACATCACATTGCCTACTAGCGTCCATCTGTCCAGTTTTTAGCCAGCCTGAGTGGTAAACCTTTCACGGCTTCCTAAAGGCAATTACGTATAGAAATAAATACACTCTCAGTGTACAAAACATAGCTGATGAGCTACATTTCTATTAACAATGTGAGAACTTCAAGTATTATCCTAATGGCTAATCCTTTATGGAAATGATGTAAGTGAAAAGTAGTGTGCACGACTTAAAATACAGTGCACGCTTGTCCTCTCACAACTTTTAAAATTGCAAGACCATTTACATCTGATCAGCTGCAAATCAGATACTAAACAAGAAAAAAAAAATCTAGTGTTTTAAGAAAAGGAAGAAGACATTAACAAACCATTTAACCATTTAAAACATTTAAAGGAAGAAGACATTAACGAAGTATTTCTAACCAGCAAAAAATATTTTTAAATGAACATTTTAGCCATAAGCAAGTTATTCCTACAAAAGAACTAAACCTCTGGAAACAGGAATTTCTATTTAAACACCAATCTCAGCCAATAATTACAACTGCACTTCTATAATAATTCATCTAAATAGAGTCACGAATTAAGTCTGGTGTATTGCTGTTGGTGTAAGTTTATCTGGAAACAGACTGAGATGATGGCTGGCTTTGGGTAAAGGTGGCGTAGAGAAAAATGTCGAGCATGCAGTATGCACTCCCTCTACTGGACACTGAAGACTGGGCAGGCATTCAGAGAAAGAAAGGGATATGTCCGAGCATCCAGGTACCATGAAATAAAAGTCCTTTTACAGCTTCTTCCCTCTTCCTCTAGATTCAGCTAAACCTCAGATTCACAGAAAAAAGGATTTCAAGACTCTTGTTAATACTCTCAAAATACATTTCCTATCAGAAACTGACACCTGATTCACCCCCCAAACAAATACTTAACTGCAGTGAACATAACTTGGGTAAGCACACAAGAGCTCAAATTGCCTTTGATCAACACAGTAGGACTGTCATTTTTTTGTCCATCCCCCAGCTCTTTGAAAAAATGACAGCTCAGGAAGAGATGTCGCGATGACTTCTGCTCTGCTGGCGGCACAGCAGTGGGAAGAAGGAATCCATGGTCTGGGCAGCTGGGATGTATTAGCATTTACAAAATCTGCTGCAAGGGATTTGTTTCTATACAGTAAAAAGATAACCTTGGTCGTTCTTTTCCCTCCTCTCCCACAGCTCCCAAGAGACCAGAAAGGTGCCATAGCCTACTTGTGTTGGCAGGGTTTAAGTGTTACATAAAAATGACGTCCCTCCTTATAATTAAGGCTTTCTGATAGCTCGTGTTCTTCACTGTCACGTCACTATAAACCATTTTAAGTCAAAGTGTTTCACTGTATAAAGTTCTGCGCTTTCCTTTAAGTAACTCTGTATAAGAGAAGTTCCCCCGTAGTCTGCAAAGCAGCGGGGCTTTCACATTGTTCAGTAAAGATAAATGCAAAAAAACTTCAGAGAAAATAATTTGTGCTAATTTCCTAACATGCTCTGATTGCCTAAGGATGCTGCCTTGCAGACAAGTGCTCCATGATCTGGAAAATGAAGTGAGAAACAATGGAAAGCATGGAGGTAACAGTGAGGATTGCCAAAAGCAGACACCTTCCTGCACCAACCAAATGATTCTGCTGTGAAGGCAGGCCAGGTAACCACCAACTTCTTCCTCTTGACATAATTTACATCCAGCTACCATGCTGGTATATTCATATTGAACTGTAGCATCAAGAATTACTCCACATATATACACACCTTATTTGCATCTCAGCCATGTGCATGTATAACTGCTTAACTAAACAAGGGTACCAATGACACACTGCAAAGGTAAGGGGACTCCAGGGCCTTCCCTCTTCTAAGTGGCAATTTAAATCTCTGCAGGATTGAGAGGTATAATAGAGTTCACAGTGACAAATCTCCAGCTTCACAGTCTCTCACTAAACCCGTCCCTTTATCAACTTTCTTGGTCTCAATCTGAGGATGGGTAAAGCCTTTAGTCCGCCTGTCCCCAGACAGAACAGAAACAAAGCACAGAACAGAACAGATGAAAAGGGGGAAATTAGAGCACAGAGAATGAGCACAAATTAAAACCAGAAAGTCTGAGGAAACTGGGCAAGCCCAAATCCCCAGCCAAGCTTCCAAGTCCCTATCATTCCATTTTATATTTGCTGATAAAATAAAGCCACTTTCTCCCTGAAGGTAAGGCTTGCCTGTGGTGCAGGACCATAATTACACTCAAAATGAGCAAGTACACAAACAATGCACCTTTACATTCTCCAGCTAACAATATAGGCACCTCAGATTGCAGTCACTAGGTGCCAGGAAAACTGCACTATCATATCGAAATGTCAAGATGTCACAGACCAACTACAAACCAGACAATTCACATGGGACCCTCTGCACCCAGACATTTTATTTACACGCTCTCTCTCTGCTGACTAAATGCTCCCCCCTTCATTTCCAGGTGTGCTCATCTCCACACACAAGCAGGTTCAGCACTCACTGACTCCACATGCTAACAAATAACATCCATAAGGCACCGAGCTCTGTCGGGACAGGACGGCTGCGAGCCAGTGCTTTTAAGGACAGACTACCAGTACTTCTCTTGGATCTAAAGTTACAATACAGAAGATAGCAAAAGTTGGGCATGGCAATAACTATAGTTCCAATGACACAAGGATGTAAAGGCAGAAGCAACAACACATAACGCAAGCAGCAATGCAGAATTAAAGAGGAGCTGCGTGTAGTGTTTCATATGCTGACATGTAAATATTTGACAGATGGGGATTTAATAATCGCTGTCTAAGAGATGTTGTTTATTTTGTTCTATCAGACTCATTTTACCATGTTCTTACGTTTCAACCAAGTCATCTGACACACGAATAAAAGGCAATTTATACAGTTTCCTTCTGCAGTACAAAGCTCTCTATGTTCAGGTTATAAATTTAAAGTAACTCAGCACTAACACTAAATTTGGGTATTTTCCACTGGCGAAAATCCCTAGGAATAATTATATATTGTTTTCAATGCTTAAGTTAATACCTCAATCTGCATTGCTTTATTTTGGATATATTCTTTGTGAGCACTGCTATGTATTTTCCCTTTTTTTCTTCCTTCTAATGATGGAATTTATTAGCTTTCAAACCTTATATAGATAGCATTGATCAATCTCAAGAAGTGGCAACAATACCACTTTACATACATACACATTCACACATACACTCACGCGAAAAATCAAGGCTTGAATGTCCTTTATATCTTGCAAGAAATATAGCAACCAATATTCCATGCAGAGATGCAGCAAATGAAGTCCTGTCAAGCAAATGGCAGGAATGACAGCAGATGTCTGGATTCCTTCATAGCTGGTTGCATAAAGGTAGCGCACATATTTCACTGGAGAAAAAAAAACCTCTGACAAGACAGTCTTCCAGTACTTTTCATTCAGACTTGGCTTTTTTGACTGGTGTGGTACAACAGTAGGTATTAAGGTGATGAACCAGATTAATCTTGATTAAGCTTCATTTGCACAATGAAAGCAAAGTCTCCAACACTCGGTCATGGCTAAACGAGGCTACCACAATGTAGCCCAAGGTATAATGTCCAGATCAAATTCTTACAATCCAGTCATAAACCATATTTTACTCTGGACCCTGACCCAAACCACTCATTTGCATGTCAAGCTATACAGTAATTTCATTTGATCGCAACCAACAGGAATGAATATTGTGCAGCTCTGCTTTTTAGCTACATAAACAAGCCACAGACTCCTTTTTGGATCTGAATAAAGTACTTGATCTTTCAGCCTCTGTTTATTCATAAGCTTCACTTATTTCACAAAAACTGTCTTTGTGAAATGTATTTTGACTTTAAAGCTTTATATGACAACTAATACTTTTAAGACATCCTCAATCACATTACCTGCTCACTAGAGAGAGTAAATGCTCCAAAGCAAATTTTCCTGAATTGTGAGACACTAGCATAGTTTAGCAAGTTGTCAAAGACCATGAGTAACACAGTGTTTACTGAGAAATGCGCACCAAAGAAGCTGAGGACATAGTGTTACACATGAAGAAACTAAGAGTAAATAAAATCTGAACTTAATCACTTCCCTATCCTAAATAACAACAGTGCTGCCTTACATGGTTTTGTCTAACAAGAGGCCCCTAGCACACTGTAGAGGTGTTTGGTGCAACTTCCTTGAGAGAAGCTACAGACAGCTGAATTAGCGTAGTTTTCAATGAAACCTGTGTTGAAAAGTTTCCCAGATTAAGGCTTAAGAGAAAGTGCATTTTTGTATACAAGCTAAGCATTACTAATGGTCCCCTCCAGTAAAACAGAATTTTAAGAAACTCACCTCTTCTCTTTTTCTCGCTTTAAAGGAAATGTTCATTTCCTTGTATTTCTTCATAGCAGTCTCCAATTTATTCTTGAGATCAATGGCACATCTTAGCCGATCATCACTTATTCCTGCTCTGGTAAATAACTGCAAAGCAAGAAATCAACATTCTTATTCTTTTTTCTAGACATGTGAGCCAAAAAACATCTTCAGTTTTCCTTCATAATTAATGAAACATTGTCACAAATTCCTTTATTTTACAACTAACAATTAGTAAAGCCACTTCTTTTCCTATCTACAATATAAAAGCCAATTAGCAACTACTAAATACAAACAAACAATGAACAGCTGGCACAAACATCTCCTGAGAGTGTCCTTCAATAGGCCAAATTCTGCGCATGAGGCTCCTGAGCAGTAGTAGCAGCTGACAGAAAGGACATACTGTTTTTCTGATACATGTGTGTCTGACAGAACCACGCTGTGTTTTACTTTAAGCCTTTGCAAGAAGCCCCATTTCACTATAGCTTACAAAAAAAAAAAAAAAAAAGTATGGCTGTAGGTAGCACACCTAATGGTGAGAGCCATCAAACAAGTTATGTGGCTCCCATAGTCTCCTTTTGCCCACCCCTACTGAACTAGAAATCTTTTCTATTTGCACCAATGTTTCTTCAAACTTTTTGTGCACACTCCCTCAAGATTTACTGTACACTAGTCCTTGCCTCTTCATCTTTTTATAAAAAAAAAAAAAAAGAAAAAAAAAAGAAAGAAAAAAATTTATCTATCCCACCTGAATCCAGGACTGCACAGAGGGCCAAAACTTATTTCTGAGGAGTTTGTGAGCATCCATGACATTGTTTATTATGGCAGTATTATCTTCATTCTCATGCACTTTTATATCTGCTCAAAACAAGAGGTAAAAAAAGGAGTTAGGGCACAATGTTACAATCATCAGAACGTTTCTCTGTTCAGTACTAATTATTCTACCATTACGCACACATTCAAAAAAAAAAAAAAAAAAAATCAGAGGAAAAGCATTCAGTCCAGTGATGACAAAGTTTTTAAGCAACCACTACTAAGGAATCACTAAACCAACCACAGTCGAGTGCGGTCTTACAATTTACACCTTGTCCTAAGTTCCAATCAATGGACTGGGCCTTATTGCACCAGTTTCTGCATATTCAATATGAGAAAAAAAATCCCTGCCCCAGTGGCAATAGGATCTTGATTGTCAAAGAAGCCAAGTATGCCACTACTCAAATAAAAATCACACTCTTCTGTTAGCCATTCATACGCCCCACAGACACATTTCCAACTCTTTCAAATAAAAATCACACTCTTCTCCTGTTAGTCATTCATACGCCCCACAGACACATTTCCAACTCTGTTGTCTGCAAGCACAGTAGTAGATACCTGTCGTACTGGCTGATTGCATGCGAAATTCCATTAGGACAGTATTTCTAAGAGACTTCACTTTCACTACCAAAACACAAACCAACCTAATTTTTCTAGAGGTAATTCATATTAGCAAAGTTATATAAAAATGGCATAATCATAACCCTTAAGACCTCCTAGCAAAACTCTACCTATTACTTCTTGCAAGTTGTCAGTAGCAATGAAAAAAAAAAGTTTACAAAACAGTCAGTTGTAAGATTTTTAAATTAGTAGCTTATATTCCAGCTATAGAGAGAAAGAAAGAGGTGCATCGTGAACCATACGGAAAATAAAATTATATACTGTAAGCAGATTGTAACTTTTTTTAAACACAGGAAACTCATCTTATCCCAGGTACTATGAAGTGCTGCAATATGGTTACAACAACCAATACAAAAGTTCAATCTTAGAAGGTAATTAATAAAATCTGTACATCACATACAAGGACACCCAAACCTAAGAACGGTTACTAGATGAACCATGAACAGAAAAGAACTCCAAAATAAATCACAGCCGTGTCCAGGAACCCCAAATGCAAATGGTGTCCAGCAACCCCAGCACTTAAGTCATAGGGAAAAAAACCCACAATTACAAAGTGCTTCAGGCAAAGACTGTCTCCAGCTATATGGGAAAATTTTTTCAAGGTACCTGTGGAGATTTCAAGGTCTAGAGTATACTTATGTGAAATAAGTCCATGGTTCCTAACAAAAGTCTGGTAATCTTCATCACTGAGAGGGGTGCCAGACTGAAATTCCGAGCATGTGCCTCCATCTAATTCTTTCTGCTCAGGCTTCTCCTGTTTCTCATCTAACTCCTTGGTTTTATCAGTGCTAACACACTGAGAAACAGAAAGAACGTCCTTGCTGCAGCATGGCTGCTCATCATCCACGCATCCAAAACAGGACTGGTTAACTTCCACCCAGGAGGGCAAGGGGGATGCAGGTCTATCCTCATTAGCAGTCATTTTTTTGTTGGGTTCCAGCTCCGTGTCATTCACAGTGAAGTTGAAAGGATCTGGCATCAGAAGCTGGAAACAGTTTTCCATCTCTGTCAGTGTGTCGGCAACCTCTTGGGACATTTCTATCAAGAAACAATTGGTTTAGAGTATTGTTAAACACTGTAAAATGCTGATGTCTTCAGAGCGGACACAGATTTACAAAACAAATATGACTGCCAAAGGGGTAATTCATTTATCCGGTAATAATTTATCCATACTGCTGCAGATATTGTCCTTATAAGGTGACAATACTTTTCTTAAGCAGGAAAGCTAGAATTTCCTAAGCAAGGAATTTAGAATCAGTGTTCCTCCTTCCCCTATTCTCTCTAAAATTTCGCTATGCAAAGATGACAAATACTTCATAGGATTTTAAGAAGAACAAGGTTCAATGTGGATATTCCTAGTGATGTCGGTGGGTATTCATTCTGCCACCATGAATGTTAATAGTTGCTCGTGGGTGTAGCCACAAATATATGCTATTGCTCAAAAAGATGCTACCAATAAAAGTGACTTTAAGAAGGTTAAATCTCTTTAAAATTCCACCCTCATGCATGAAAACGCTTCCAGCATGCAGAATAAATGCAGGCACAAACGCACGCATTACACATACCAAAGGAATTTAATTAAATAATCCTTTGTAACTACAACATAATATACTTACTATCTCTTCTTCTTTCGTATTACAGAAATATGTTTACTATGTGCATATTGCTTAGAGATTCAGCCCCCAGTTAGACACATTTTTCAGCAGCAGTATGATACTTTTCATAGATATCCTGCACAACGTCCAGGATTCCTGTGCTAACCACTGCCTATACTTCTGAAACATGGTGACTGTATATAGAATATAACTAAGGTCATCAGCCAACAAGGTATGAGAAGTCTGTCCCTAGTTGTAGGCAGAGAAATTAAGCCACTAGCTCTGAAAAGTCTCATGGTATGCTTGCCTGAGGTTATGCATTCATGCTTTACTGAATTACAGACCAGACCTTGCTAACAGTTTTGGTTTTGTTTTGTTTTGTTTTTTTTATCTCTTCATACTACCTGAGCTCACAGGCTTGTCACTTGTTTCCCCTCATATTCTTTAGCTGAGAGAGACAGAGGTTCAAATTCTAACAAATTAACTGCTCCTACCCTCTGTGGTCAGCTATTAATTGGATAGCTATTCTCTTAGAATTTGTTTTACATAACCTTAAAAAAGGTTGCTTTAAAAATGAACAAAAAAAACCAAACCACCAAAAGAACCAAAGCAACTCACCTTCCATTTCTTTTTCAGCTCTTTTGGCTTTTTCTTTGTAAATGTTATCCAATCGTTTTTGCTTCTCCTCTTCCCTCCTCCTTTCAGCCACAGTTCTGGCATGCACATCTTGAAAATCCACCTAAGGAGGAAATGAAGAAAAAAGCACAACATTCCTTGTAAGAAATATATAGAAAATCCATTTCCTAAGATCCTTATCTGTGGTGAAAAATCCTCTCACATCAGTGATCAGCCAGACGCTCAGCACTACTTACTTTTATCTCTTCTCCTCCTAGAATCAATAACTACAGTAATTCGGAACGGAGTTTTTACTTCTACTAATAAGGGACTGCTGAGAATCAATGGCTTTCAGAAAGGAATCATAAGGCAGAAAGCCAAACCATTTAGATTTCTGCATATACATTGCGGGAATAAACTAGGCTTTGGGAAACCTCAGTCACAGGATGGGAGACATGGGGTTAGGGGGAATGGGCAGCAAGAGACTACACAGGGCTTCAAATTACTGAGAACGTCACACTAGGTCCACTATTAGTAAAGGAAATTTAGGAAGATTTGTAAGCACTATTACCACAAATATACATATCACTTACTGAAAAACTTTGTAAGCAAGGAAGGTAGAAGACAAGACCTTCAAGTTCATTAAAAAAGACCAAATTTTGGATTTTACAATTACACCTGTTGGATTTGGGGATTGAGGGAAAGGTTATCATTCAGTCCCAGTTCACTTTCTTATGACTAAAATATAAACATAAACCTGGGTGATTCAAAACACTTCCTTAAAATATTTGCAGTGGGGTTTTTTTTAGTTGGTTCTTAGAGGGGCTTGAAAATGCAAATATTTTTCACTTCTATTTTAAGGAAAGGAGTCTTTATTGTATTATTGCATAAGGAAACCCCTCTGAAAAGGAAAACCACAGTATTTCCTTTGGATTGCTACCACATAACTTTAATTAACTTCAGTAAAGATTGAGTGCTGAGCAAGCCCGTACTTCGCTGCTAATAAAGTCTGCAGACTCTCTGGTGCTGTGTCTGTATTGCAAGCACCCACTGGACGTTTGTCGATATTGCTGCTGCTAGATGATAAGGCTCGTCAACATACAGTAATGGCTCCCAGATACCGACATCCTACACCAACGTTTTGGAGCCACACAAGAGTAAAATAGTGAAGCTGGATCTCACTTAGGCCCACACAACACTGAGATCACTCTGCACAGGACAAATAACTCTCACTCTCTATCTAGTCCCAGATCTCTTCTGTAACACATCCATGGACTTACTAGCCACGGGTCAAGCAGACCAAGTAGTACATCATACAACTGAAGTTTGCATATTTTTTGCACAATCAAGAATTTTGCTGGTCTCTACTCTCAAAATTATAGAAACTTTTTCATATTTGCTCAGCATTAAGCAAGTTGGTAACTCCATTAAACACTACGGAAGTTAAAAAACAAACGCTTGAATTTGGGCTTAGCCATGTGCTAAAGTAAAGCATCTTGCTATACAGATGTTCCTACTGCTGAATAATCCCTATGGCGTGCAATAGGCCTTGAGGTTTTTACAAGTATTATTTATGCAAACACTTCAAAGACTTTTTTTATGTAAAAGCCTCTAGGAGCAAAAGGATACTTCAGCTTTCACAGAAACTGGCATGGAGAGTCTCCACTGGTTTAGGAAGAGAGGCACATTTACCAAGCTCTTTTTTTATTGGGGAATGGGGGTGCAGAGGCAAGGTAGGGACAAGAGCTAGCTTCACTACCTACAGCAGCATGTGGATCTGGTGAGCTTTTGGATTTTCAGGATCTGATTTTTCTACCGAGCTCTCATAGCTCTCCACATAGGAGAAACAGAATCGCCCAAAGAGCGACATCACCCTTAAAAATGGAATAAAAGGTACAGAACCCAGGAACCACAGCCACTGTTTCTAGGTGGTCAGACTGGACTTGCCCAAAAAAGCTGAGATAGCTAGAGCTTCCTAAATCACAACTTCTGCCTCATACCAGAATACCTAGAGTAGAGTCATTCGCTCATTCTTTCCCCTTCTCTGTCCCAAAGGGACCAGCCATGTGCTGCTCTGCTGTGTTGTTTCATACTTCAGCGCTTGGCCGATGCTCCTCTTACAACATCTGCTAAATCATCATGGTTTGCCATTGGTAACAGGAGCGCACCTCACATACTAGACATCTATCACCAATCAAGTCTACAGCACGCACAAAGCTTCGAGTTGCCCAAAACAGGGCACAGCAGCCTTTTACAGAAGCCTCACAAGGCCACAATAACTCAGGGCCTGAGTTACAGATGTGCGCATGGACTCACCGGCTACCTGGGGTCACCGCTAATACAGACACTTGCTCAGAAAACATCTAACCTCATTTAAGTGATATGGACTGAGACCAGAGTTGTTGTTTTGTCTCTGTGTTGGTACTGGCCACATGAAGCCTCTTACCATTGCTCTGCAATTATGGAACTGGATGTGATGAGCTACAAACGATTGTTCTTGATTTAAAGGGTGTAAGTAGTGGGCCTAGACAACTACAGCAACCTTTTGGAAAATACTGAAGTACAGCAATAAGATACTCTATATTGAGCTTATGCTTAAAATCCTGTTCACTCCATAACTGCAGCATCCATGCATTCATCAAACGCAAAGATAATATAACATGACTCAGTTGCCTAAATATGTAAACATCTGGACACACCTGAAATATTTTCCCCCCCCTTTCTTCTTTCTTTTAAACTTTGAGACAGAAGTCTATAAACAATTATTTTCAGATATACTGAAATATGATTTGTTCTTGAAGTCAAATGTTTATATAGGTACCTACTAACATTAAAACAGGGGTAACTCTCCCGGTTTACACCCTAAAAGGGCAGCAGTTGTCATCTTCTGGCCAACTGTTTATAAGGTGATTTTGGTGATTTAAAAAAACCCCAATCAACAGCCACAAACCACAGACACAGCTAACACTCCTCTCAAGTCACCCTATACTACTGTGCCAAACCTGTAATAGAGAACAGCAGATGTACTTTACTCCTAGAAAGTACAAATGTCTCCTCGAATCTTTCATTTGCTTCTCACACTTCAAGTATTATGCTGGCAAAAGGCCAGTTAAGTCAGCTGGCTCATCTCAACTCTGTAAGTACAAGAGTTACCAAACTACTTGAGACTTTCTATTGGTACTAATGTTTCTATTAGTACTTAAATTCAGCTGCTCTAGAAAATAGTACAGCCAACCTTGCTGGGCAGCTTCGTATCAAAATACACAGAGTGATCACCCAGTTGTAACTGGGGAGCAGCCATTAACCACAGGAGCCCAGACAAACATGCCAAACTGCAGCAGGCTTGCTGTACAATCTGCTAAACCTGTGTTATGCGTTAAAGCTCCCCCACCTCAGTCTTGCATTTCTCCTTGTCGCTTTCCTTTGGTAAACAAGACAATAAGGGAGGATTCAAAGACAATCACCTTTTGTGAAGAGATGCCAAAAATTGTATAGAAAAAGAACCCAGTATAGTAAATAATGCAAGCAGGGAATGCTATTAGCTTAGTATGGAACCAGAACAACAGAAATACATCAGGTATCACAAATGTTTTTGATCTACTATTAGGAACACTGAACGCGTGTCTTTCTGAAGAGAAAAAGAATCAATGTTTATTGAAAGCCTGATGTTATCATTGTAGATAGTGTGAATGCTCAAACAGTGTTCCCAATTTCGTTGGTTGCACCTCAGAAGAGATACTAAAGGAGAAGAATGTTCAAAACATACTAACTGGAAGCCTAGAAGGGAGAGCTAAAAGAAAGTGTTTACATACAAGAAGATTTATTATAGAGGAATTTCTTGTACAACACACAGCACCACTGCAGCTGAGGGGGGCCAGCACCTACACTTACTGTCATTGCCACGCAGTGAAAGGATGCTAGAACCAGACAGCTCAGCACAGAAATCAGGCTAGTTTAAACTTGCACAAGAAGACTTAGCAGTTTAAACTTTCACAGGAAGACTTAGCAGTTTAAACTTTCACAGAAAAACTTACTAGCTGATTATCCTCAGTTTAAAGCATAGCCATTATCTCCTTTCTAAAAAGGCTAGACTTTGGGGCTTCAGGTAGGGATCAGTGGGTGAAAGCCTGTTGGTGAGCAATGCTTTTTGCGCCCTGAGAAAAGGCTAGCTGAGCCCAGCTCTGGGGTTTTTAAAACTTTACAATACCACAAGACGGACAAAAAGTTTGGGGTTTGTTTTTCAAAGGCCATGCTCAACAGGATGTCTCCCAAAGTCATCTCCAACAGCTTTTGTTTTATAATTGGTTTCCTCACTTTAAACATCTCCTAGCAATCATCACCTAAAAACACAGGCAGAAGTAAAAAGGCCAGAGTACCTTCTTATTCCGCTTTAAGAAGTGGTATCCCAGAGCAAGCTTCTTGTAGGCCTCTCCGTATTTCTCATGCCACTCCTGCACCGACTTAATGGCAGCTTTCCTCAGCTTCTGCGCCACCTCTTTGGGCGGGGGAAGAGGCTGCTCATGGTCTATCCCCACCGTGAGCTCCAAGAACTCTTGGAAGTTGGAAATAATCAGCGTCCGGAATGGATGGGATCGGCTGAACAACTCCTGCACGATCTGGAAAGCCGAGAAGCGCACCTCGGCGTGCTCCTCCCGCAGCCGCGTCGTCAGCAGGTGGTAGGCATGGCTGATGTGTTCCTCCGACGACCTGAGAAGGGAGAAACGAAGAAGAAAAAGGATGGGGGAGTTACTTCAAAAAAGAGGTTTAGCACATAAAACCACAACTTTTTTTAAAAAAAAAATGGTTTGAAATGTTAAGCCG